AGGAAGGGACGAACAGGTGTTCAAACTTCCAGTCAAACCCAATCAGCGAGGAATGGATGGAGCTAGGCCTGTGGCATCGTTTCTCTGAGCTCAGCAAAGATTTCCTCGTTGAAGCCCATGCTGGAGCGGATCACCTTGCAGTTGATGGCCATGTCGGTCTCGTCCTGTAGCCAGTGGCACTGCTGCACGTTGAGTCTGCAGCCAAACTAGGCCAGGCGCGTCCCAGTCCAAGCAAATGGAGTTGTGGAAAATAGGATCTGGACCTGGCCACATCAGCTGTCGCTGGAGAAAATGGGCTTCAATGGGCTGCAAAATCCAACCAATTTGTCGGCCCAACCACTTTGAATATCAGATCTCCCGGCGACCTCAAGGGAAGCTAAGCAGCCGGCGGCCCAAAGTGCCAGCAATTGTGCAAAACGAGCTCTGTGTGGCCGAGGTGCTAAGACACAGCCATGTCCCTCATTGGCCAGGAGCTCTACTTCAACAAAGAATGCTTCCTGGCAAAAGAGATATGGATTTGAGGGTACTATAGAATATGCCACCAAAAGTGCGATATTGTTAATTTGCCTACAGTATCCTACAGTAGATGTTTGGACATTGCCACTTGGGCAAAGAGTCCGTCCTCTGGCAAGCTCTCTGCACGGATAACATGTATCCAGCGCTGGAAGCCTCACAATATGCGTGCAAACCCGCGGGGGCTTCTTGATCATAGTGTCACACTTCAGCCTAAGATTGTACCGCATATCTTTATTTTGTTTGTGTTTCCGGCGGAAACTCAAGGTGGCTCCGACAGTAGCACCTGGCATGCCCCTTCCAACAGTCATAAACTTTGTGCCTTTCTCAGGCTGCCGCTGGGTCTCAATCCGCCAAACTGAGCCACAAGTATCACTGGAGGACCTAGGGATCTCTCACTCAAACCAATATGGCGGCTAGGCTCTTCTTCCTCAATGACACCCAATGCATATCAGTGGGTGTTGGAAGTTGACATGCCCAATACTAATACGTGACCTTTGGGGTATTTGACCACGCTTCTGGCACACCAAACGAATTCATGCATGCCACGGGGGGGGGATTTGGGGATCCAATGTGAGCACGTTTGAGAAGGAGGATGGTGTTGCGAAGACCTTGACTTGGACAATCCAGAGCCGCACACAACAAGTGGCAAGATCAGCACAACTTGAACTGTATATATAACTGTACAACCACTGCAATGGCAAAGAACATGGGGTCATGGAGCAAGCACATATAGGGACTGTGGGATCATTCAACATTGTCATTCACAACCACAAACGAACACACACACACACACACACACCCCACGCACGCACCCACCCACGCATGCACATATGATATATATATATATATATAAATATGTAAATAGGATGCAGAATGCTCACACCAAATGGTCGGTGTCACTTCTTCCGATCTCGGTGAGAAACTCAATTATAATCACGCCGAACAGACTTTGGGGTGCTGCCACCTCTTTGCATTGGCCACATGCTTTTTGCAAAGATCAGGGACCTTGGACATTTCGAGCGGGATTTTCAAACCTGCAAGTTCGACTTTGCTTTGCATCCTTGGCCTTTGCCCCGGTATCAAAACCCCTTCAGCCACAACTCTTTCCAGCCTTGTTGGAGCTGCAAATATCATCAGAAGGGAACCCCTAGGGAACAAAACACAGCCAAGTCAGCTGACTGAGATTCATGCGGACGACGACTTTAGATTGGTCAACAGCAAAGGGCTGCATCTGAAAGCGACCTTGTTGCGCTGCTGGTGGATGAAGAATTAGGTTAGCTACCTGGACCTATTGAAAAGCCTCCCTCTCTCTCTCTCTCCCTCTCTTTGTGGGAATGTGCCAATTCTGAGAATCTAGACGATTACAGTACAGTAACAAACATCTGAAGCATCTGTCATTTTCTTATCTTCTGCGCAAACTTGAGATTCACTGTACAACCTCAATGAAGCAGATCAAGATGGAGACTGTGCTCAATAGAATATGCTTTCTTTTCCTTGCAAGTAGGCTCTGGAATCCGTGCTGAAGTTTGACCCAACGAGCTGCCTTGTAAAAGCACCGGCAAACCCAACCAATAGCAACTTTCAGGCCGGCCGGCGCTTTGTTTCATTCAATCAATCTTCCATGGCGGCTCCATGTTTCTTCCAGGCTCTGCATTGGCCAGCTCTGCAAGCACGTCTGCATGGCATGCGTCTGGCTTGCACCAACAGCCCAATCGAAAACCACGCAGCTCTGACAGTTTCTCACGTAGGGGTCGGCCATCCTGAGCAAGAAAGTGTCATTGACAGATCTGCTCACAAGCTTGTTTCCGCTGTTCTGAATTCGAGGACGGCTGTCAATTTATAATGTCTCACAGCCAGCTAGCTTGCGGAGAGTATCTTCTACAGTATATAAACAAGTTGTGGCAAGGGTCATGTTTCTCCAAAGCAATGCCAAGCCCAAAACGAGTCATCTAGCGAAAGGAACAACATGCATTAAAGTTGGGCATCAAGAATCTTCATCCTTCAAGGAGCCAGCCAAAAGCGCCTTGCGAAACTTCTCGCAGGCCATCTGCCTAGATGTGGTTTTAGAGACAACGATGGGGTTCTGCCACTTGGAGCCGGGAAAGTGGAAGATGCGCTTGGAGCCATTTGAGCCATGGATGAAAATACGCCCACGGCGACCCACATACACATTTTCTGGATCTTCAAGCCACTTCTCAAAGTCCTCATATCCAGCTTTCCTGAGACTTGCCACCTTTACAGAAACTGATGTGCATTTTGACTTGGGAGCACCAGTTACCATGGAAGCCCTCTTGCTTTGTGACACATCCGTTTTTGGCTGCTTCTCTGGTGGTGCCGTAGAAGCTTTGGCCCCACCTTGCCCGCTAGGGGCACTGGAATGTTTCCCCATGGAATCAGCGGGCGTTTGAGCTCAAAAGCTTCATCCGTTGCAAAAATCCGGAAAAGATTACTTTTTTGGACTCAGTGCACCCTAGAAGAAGTAAAAACATACCGCAAACATAGCGGGAGCTTCACTACCTCGCGTTTTGCAGCCTGAAGCTACAAAGATTACAAAGTCCCAAAACAAGGTCGTCCAACGCTTAGAACATTTCCCATCCGTCCTTTAGGCACTAAGATTGAGACGCACCGTCGGAGTACGGAGCATGTCAAGGACCTGGCAGTGTCCCAGGTGGTGTTGGTGCTTGACCGTGCCCGCTGGCCTCGCCCAAGGTCAGCAGCAGCTCAGCCAGTGGTCCCAGGCCAACGCCGAAGCGGGTGTCGCTTAAGATGATGTGCACATAGAGGCCCTTCCTGAAAATCAATAAGCGCCAATCAATGCAGACCATTGAAGGTGTTGCATACCACACATTGCCTGCACGTGCTTGCGGAATCACAGTGCATGTAAGTCTTACATTTAAGAGGCGACGCTGCAACTTAAACCAGTCACAAGGAGCACGGATGAGGAACACTTCCAGGGCACAACGACTTTGAATGAGCGGGTGTCATTGTCCTGCCGCAGTTGTGCGGCAACTTACCCAATCCTCTCACACATTTCTGTGGCAAGTGCTGGGGCGCTATTCCCAAACAATATCTTAAACATATATACGTCCGCAGCAGCTCAAATTCCCTTCCAGTACGGTGGTGCTGTGACTTGTGATTTCAGGCCTCATCGAACATGCTGGTGAAGCACCATCTAACAATTTCTGCTGACCCTCGTGGTTCTGCAATGCCACGGCCAAGGCACTTTGTTTGCACTGCCCTGTGCCGTTGCTCTTGGTACCTATATGGGCCCCGCTGGCGCGTGGAGATGTGTAAAGTGCGGCGCTGTGCTAATGGGGAACGAACTGGGAATTCAGGAAACCCTGACGGGGTGAGGCTGGTGAATGTGGATCATGTGTGGTGCAATGCACTAGAGCCTCCCCCCAAATTCCTTTCTGCTCAATCCCGTGCACGCGACCACTTTTGCTGTCCACTGTCGACTGGAAAGGGCCAGTAGAGATTTGCCAAGACACGTAGCAAAAATGATTATACATTTTCTAGGGGAAAGTTTTTCAAATAGAGATGTCTGGAGACAAATGTCGCCAGGTACACACTTAAAAAAGCATCGCAAAAGTACAGATTCCTAGAGAATGAGCATTCAAAAGTTTAGACATTTAGAGGCAGGTATCCCAAAAAAGTAGAGTTGGGAAATTGGTAAGCTTTTTGAGTAGAAGTATCCAAAAAGAAAACTTTCAGCAGCGGAGTATCAAACAGCAAAGGTTTTCGAAAAGCGACAATTCTTACAGTACATCGCAAAAGAGACTGTATACACAAGCAAAGTATTACAAAAGAAATGTCGCGAGTATTCTATAAAGGATACATTTCATCCACGTCTCCGCAACCACACTACACCTCACCCCAGTGCGTGGACCCGTCATCATCTGATTTACCTGACAAGTCATCACACCTGCTCATGACACAAAACGCCCGGACGCATTCCTAAAAATTTGCGCATTTGAAAACTTGGACCCACCAGCCTACTGGTAGTATGTGAGCCTAGTTGGAGTCATAAATTCTACTGCCAAATGTCAACAATTCTTACCTCGCCTTCCTCCCATCAACTGTGTGGTGGTGAAGCAAAAAGTGGCCACTGGCCTGTGGTGATATTATTTTTGCCGTGGTGAAGGGTATTGTGGTGGTGTATGATGAACCCCTAAGTTTCTACACTTTTTGCTGGACCCCCCCACTGCTTGTCATTGAGGGCCTGTACTGTCTTTAAAAGGTGTTCTTGTTCGCTTGTCCAGGCTTCTCCGGAACTCTTTGCTTTTTATGGTTGGTGACAAGCAACTTGAAACAAGAAACCACAAATCGCCAAGGACTGTTGAAAGGAAAGTAGCGGCCGAGGAAAAAAGGTTCTGGCGGACAAACGGGCTCTGCTAGCTGCCATTTGAGAGTCCATTGGACTAAGTGTAGGTGTGCATGGGTAGCCGCATCGGAGCACAGCTGCTCCAAGCTGGCCTTGACAACTTGCGCGGCAGCCCTTCACCATGCAAGCAACGACTTGCCGCGTCCCCTCCCACATGTCCTGCCCACCTTTCAAGACGCACAACCCTCACAAAGGACAGCGCTTTCTTGTCGCTCGCAAAATGCCTTCTTAATCTGACGCTGTTCTCATCAAAAGCAAGCATCACTCAACCACCAGCTATTCCAGCCTTTCCCGTCATTTGGACATTTTGACCTAAACTTTGACTTGCATGTGTATTCTGTAGAACTGTAGAAGTACCACATTTACCATGTACACGGTACACGCCTTGTTTCCATGCATGCGCAACAAATTTACAGCAGGTACGGTATGTAGTTCATCGGGAATATAAATTACATAGCGCATGGAGATTGAAGTGTTTTGAGGTCTGTGCTTGAAAATGCGTTTTAGTGACGAAGTGATCAAGCACTGCTGTAGAATTGCCAAGGTAGTGTGAGCCAAAATCATTTGAAAGCCACTGCGCCCACAGCCCCTTGCTGTTACAACATGATACAACTCCGAATGCATGACAAGGACCGGGTGCTTTCGTGAAGGTCAATTGGAGAGAATCTGACCAGGTAGGATCCTGCGTGTGCGTCCAGGTTCTTGTACTCGTTGCGGCTGCGTGGTGCGCAATGATTTGAAGCCAACCAGTCCGCAAACAACAGGTTGGAATACCATCTATAAAAATAGAAAACTGTTTGCCAGTCCTGTGTAGTTCCTCGGGGTACGTTGGAAACAACTTGTGCCACAAATGGCCTTGGTGACGTGGCCAGCTGGCCATTGCAGACGTTTCACACTACCAAGCTGTCAAATTGAGACATGTCCACGAGGATTGCGGTGAAATACTCAAAGAAACAAGTGAACTGTGTTTTTTCAAAGTAGGTAAAGCCTATACACTGATAAGTTGCCTATGCTGCGGGTTTCGCAGGGTCAGAATTTGTGAGAAGGGTGGTTTTGCGAGGCTTCGTGCAACAGCAGACGCTTCGCGAATTCTAAGTTAACGTACCTTCGCAAATTGGTTTCGCCTGGTTGAAAACCAAATGCCTAATTACACCGGAGGCTTCGCGAACCTTCGCCACATAATGTATCACACAAAGGCCTTCGCAAACATTTGGCATTACAGTCCCAGTCTAATCGAAACTCTATCACTTAAATAAACAAGATGCAACCCACGAACCCGAATGCGCACACGCACTCGAAAACAAACGGCCAACCATTGTTTGACACTCTTGTGGCGTACTTTTGTAGGACACTCTTGTGGCGTACTTTTGTAGGACACTCTTGTGGGGACGCTCTTATGGAACACTCTTGTGGGACACTCTCGTGCAACACTCTTTTGGACACTGTAAGACGTCGTGGGACACTGTTGTGGGGCACTCTCCTGGGACACTCTTGCGGAACACTCTTGTGGGACACTCCTGCGAAACACTCTTGCAGGACACTCATGTGGAACACTCTTGTATGTGAGACTTGTCATGAACACACCTTCGAGGCAACAGCCTGAAATGCAAATCCCAATTGCACGGCGAAGAATCCTCATGAAACCTTGCGCCTGTACCGCAAAATCATCCGCGTTTCAACATGTTACGTTTCTACGCTATTTCAGATGAATCTGACTCTTCAGGCCTCCATCTGATGGGAGGGCCACATCAATCACATTCGGATGGCTGCGAACGTGGAAGCAGCGTCACGCGAACACAGCTCTAACCCATGGCCTCCATAGATAAGTGGGAACCATTTGCTATTTATGTGAAAGCTTGGGTAGGGAAACCTGAGCCTTGTGGTACCTGCACTCTAAGTCAGGGGCACGAACGAAACACGAAGGGGGTCGTGACATGCGATGCAATGTCTTTTCGCGTGACTGCCTAAGACTCAAGGGCCCTATTTGCCCAGTGAACCAACGGCCGCGAACCGCAAATCAAGATTGTGGCACAATCTTCACACCGGTGGTGGCTTGGTCGAAAAGCCTCATGTAGGGCGACCAACGTCCTGGTGTGGGACGAACATGGAAGGTGTCGACATCACCTGCTGAGAGCAAAAACTGCAGTAGTCCACATGTCGAATTGCTGTGGCGTTGTTCATGCCATTGCAGTCTGGTCTCAGGTGGTATTTCTCCCCACGCCGGCTGATGAACACTCGGCTCGGGATGCCGGCGAGATTGCTTCTTGCGGCCTCTGCTTGCCGTCTCACTTCTTGCAACTCCCTTTCGATCTCTGCGATCATCCTTTGGTGTCGACCAAGCTCTTGATCTGTTCGATCTTGTCTCATCTGCCTCTCTTCTATCTCTGTTCTCAAATCATCAATCGTGCTTCTCAGGTCCTGGTTGACCAGATTGCCTCTTCGGATGAAATCTCTGTATTGCTCGATCTTGGCTTCGAGCTTGGTAGTCTTGTCTTCCACTCGAGGTGGAGCTCTTGGAGCCTCCTCCGTCTGGACTCCACTTTCTTCCATCATCTCTTCATCTTCTTCCTCCTCCTTTCTTGCTTCTCCTCGCTGTCGTGGCACCTGTCGGTTGCAACACCGCTGCACCCAACTCACAACTTGCAAAACACTCAGCCCGACCAACAATGTAAAAATCAACAATGGCCAGTCCCAACCACTGTCCTCATCATTGCTAGCCAACACTGGTTGCACGCTGCTCGAAACAATCATCATCGCCTTTCTTGGCGCTTGCACTGATTGCATTTCTTCTGAGCTCTCCTTTCTCTCATGCACGCTCTTCTTCTTGGCTGCCTGAAAGGAACTGTCAGCAACCAAAGAAAACTTGTGGCTCCTCAGTCGATCGGCCAACAACTGCCTGGCCTGAATCTTGGTGAGCCCATCCGATAGTTGCACTTCGGATGATACCCAGCGCAACTGGGTCTTCATTGACTTCATCTTCTCCTTCACAATCATCACTTCTATCTGTGTCCTTTTGTCGCCACTGATCTGCGGGACTTCGGACTTGATGGCATCATATAGTGCCTTTGCGTCCACCACCAATGCACTCTGGAGGAAATGCTGTCCACTCCTTTCTTCGCTTTTGGCGTTGCTCAGCTGGAAGTTCTTCTGTAGACATGCCTGCCAGAAAATGTGCAAAAACTCTAAGGAGTCGATGGCCGCTGAGCATGCTTGTGCTTCTGCATTGAGTGAGCTCCTCGAGACTCTTGACAGCTTGTAGG